CTAATCGTTTGTGGAATTCCCTTCCTGTTTCTATGCCTTCGTCTTCAGTGCCATGTCGTTAATCCTAACTGCCATGTAGGATGAGCAGGAGGTCTAACCATCTTTTGGAAAGCTGGTTTTTCTACAGAGGTCCTGTCATAGGTATGTGTTTCTGAACCTTAATTCTAATTCGTTTAATTGGTTAATAGGCTTTATTTACAGCCCTTCTGTTAAGCACCAGAGAAATGCTTTTTGGTTTGATTTAAATTCCTGGTTATCGTCGGTAAATTTACCTATTTTATTAATCAGGGGTTTTAATGAAGCGTCGTGCCTGACCTGTCTACTTCTCGCCAAAATCCTTTAACTTCCTCTGAGTATAGGCGGTTCATTCTAGATTCTAAAATTAAATATTCAAGGTGGGGGCTCTAACAAGCGTAGGCAGGGTCTCATCTTTAGAACCCTAGACAGAGCAGTCCTGGCCCCAGATGTCCTTAACTTGTTCTCAAACGCGGCTCTTTCTTTAGGCAAAAAGTGGGGTTCGGACCATCTTCCTAAACCTTTCCGTTTCTATGAAATGTGGCTCTCGGACCAATCTTGTCATCAGCTTATTGAAGATTCGTGGAATCTAAATACCAATGGTTATGCAGCCTTTAAACTCTCTAAAAAGCTTTAAGTTTTGAAGAAGGCTCTTATAGCTTGGAAGAAAACTACTTTTCAAGAGCCTACCGAGAAACTAAATCTTCTCGAAGCTCAAATCATAAAGGCTGAACATCTAAATCTTACTGACGATTTGGGAGATCTCTATCAGGATTATGAAGGAACTTCTAACCAGTTAGAGAGTTACGAGAGGCAGAATTCTAGACAAACCTGGCTCCAATTGGGAGATCGGAATACCAATTTTTTCCATAAAAGTACGAAATTTTATTGACGGAATGAAAAATGACCAAAATAACTGGTTAACCTAACATGAGAAGATCTCTAACACTTTTGTGGATTATTTCCAATAGCTGTACACTTCTCAGAATCCTGAGCATTTAACTGATCTGGAGCAAATCATTAATCCAGTCATTACGGAGGAAGATAACAATATGCTCCTGGAGCCCCCCTCCCCCGAGGAAGTGAAATCTGCCCTTTTCTCAATAGGAAATCTCAAGTCCCCTGGCCCGCCCAGATGGGTTTCCTGCCTTGGTTTATAAGCAGTTTTGGAATGTAATGGGCCGTGATTTAGTCTCTGTGGTCTAGGAGTTTTTCATTAACAAAAAGCTTCTTAAGAAGCTCAACCATACTTTCATTTGCTTAATTCCAAAGAAGGTTGACTGCTTGAAAGTTCAAGATTATAGACCAATAAGTCTATGTAATGTCATGTATAAGATCATAGCAAAAGTCATCACTAATAGACTCCGGTCTGTTTTAGACAAGTGTATCTCTCCCAATCAGGGAGCTTTTGTATCTGGCCGCTAAATGATGGATAACTCCATCATAACCCACAAAATGTTCCACTTCTTAAAGCATAAGAAGAAAGGAACGGGATATCTTGCTCTGAAACTGGATATGTCCAAAGCATATGATAGATTGGAATGGAGCTTCCTAATCCAGGTCCCGTCAGCCCTAGGTTTCTCAGACTCTTTTTGCACCTTAATTAAAGAGTGTATTTCAACGGTGTCCTACTCCATTCTTGTAAATGGTTCTTCTGAGGGTCAACTCTTTCCTTCTCGAGGCCTTCGTCAAGGAGACCCCCTGTCCCCTTGTTTATTCTAGCTATGGAAGCTTTGTCTAGAATGCTTTTTAAGGCAGAACAAGAAAACAGAATCCAAGGGATCCCTCTCACTAATTCTTCCCCGAGGATTTCTCATCTCTTCTTTGTAGATGACATTATGCTTTTCTTGAGAACCCATAGAGAAGCGTTAGATAGCCGTAATCAGATCTTAACCTCTTTTTAGGAAGCCTCTGGTCAAGTTGTAAATTTAGAAAAATCTGGAATCTTCTGCAGCAAAAATATCCATCCCAGACTAAGCGTCTCATTAGCAGACAACTCAAAATTTGGCCTTTAAATAAGAATGTAAAATACCTAGGACTTCCCTTCTTCTGGTCAAAGAATAAACATGCTAACTTGAATTTTATCCTAGACAACTTACAAGCGAAACTAAACAGGTGGAAGGCTTCTGCCATAAGTAAGGCAAGCAAATCTGCCCTTATTCAATCTGTACCTCTCCATGCCATGTCTTTAATAAAATTCTCTCAAAAAACCATTAACCAATTTGAGAAAGTCATCCGTAATTTCTGGTGGGGTACCCTCTAGCTCTAATAAATACCCTTTCTACTGGTGTGCTTGGCAGACCCTTTCTCTGCCTAAATCTCATGGAGGTCTGGGTCTCAAAAGGCTTAACTTAGTTAATCAAAGTCTGTTAACAAAAGTTGCTTGGAGATTCTTAAATGAAGATCATAATTTTTGGGTTCAAGTCTGGAAGAGTAAATATCTCAAGAAGTCTGACTCTTTCCCTTCAGTTATTCCCTCTTCTGCTTCTACCTACTGGAAAGCTGTTGGACCCCATCTTATGGATCTTTCCTCTGAAGTGGGTCGACTAATAAACGAGAATTCTTCGATCTCTCTGGGTCACAGCCCTTTGGTCCAATCAGATGGGCAGTTTTCCTGGCCCCCTCAGCCTCTTCCTCGTCAAATCTCTAATCTCAATATATCGTCTTTCATTCAGAATGGTTCTTGGAATCATAGTCTAGTGAATTCTTGTTTCTTGGAACCAGTGGCCTCCCAAATTCTTCACACCCCAATCTACCCTTCATGCAATTCAGTTCATTGGATTTGGTTACCTCATTCTACCGGTAAATTTTCTATTAAAAGGAATTATCAGAAGTTGCTTCAACCTTTGATCCCCGCCATAGTTCTTGATTTGAAATTTTGCCTTTTTTATCTCTAGAAATTGCCTATTTCCCCTAGATATAAGCCTGGAGAATCCTAAACAATATGATTCCAATCAAACATAATCTAAACCTGGAAAATTCTCAGAAATGTTGTATTTTTTGTCAAGAGCAAGAGGAATCTCTTCACCACTTATCTATCAGCTGCCGTTTCTCTCAAAATGTGCTTCTCTCTAACCCTTGGAACTTACACTTTCAAATCCTGTTTAATAACTCTTGGGCAGCAAACTTGAAACAGCTCTACAATATTTTAAATGACAATCTTGTTTAGACAGGTTTTATCTTGGTTAACTATAGCGTGGTATTATATTTGGTATGCCAGAAATGAGAAATTATTTCAAAACCATAATATCTATCCTCCTTGCTTAGCGAAGACTATTTGGAATGTATACCAGCTTTCAGGTACGGTCGAAAACCAAAGACCAAGCATGACCCAATCTCCTGATAATTCAAAGTGTGTTTTGTATTTGTCTCCCAATATGGATTACACTTTTGCAGTTGTTATTGCCTCTCGGAACTAATCTTGCATAAAAATTTTAGGTCGCACTTCATCAGTCAATTCTGTTTTGCAGGCTAAATTGTTTGCTATGCTGCAGGCTTTTAAAGAGTTACAGCAATAGATTCTCTCCAGTTGATCTGCTCCTTTAAAGAAAAGCAGGATTATCCTTGGACGTGCCATTGGCTTTTTGAACACTCAAAGCAGATCTTAAACAATCTGAACTCTATTTCTTTTGTGCATGTAAATAGAAAGTATAACTTAACAGCTCATGCAGTATCCCAGGCTGCTAAAACTCATGTTCAGCCTTCATTTGTTTATTGTACCTATATGCCAGGGATACCCAGACTGGAAGACTGTATCTCCTTGTCTTTTTGCTAATATATACTTATTTACTCTCCAAAAAAAAGGCCATAACATTATGTGAATTTTAAAGGCATAGGGGGGCCATAGCTCTCCTCCGCCACCACCTGGCTCCGCCCGAGTCACACATATTCACCTCGAACACCATTTACCAATTTGAGCCCAACCCAAGTATGTCAAATTTCACCGCAAACAGGGCTTGTATTGAGTCTATTGACACTACCCAAGACACGTCTTAATAAACTAGAGATATTTAGAAAATTTGTTACTGAGCGTGCTTATAAAAAATGTTCGGACACTGTTCTCCTAGGAATTTTATTCCCAGAAATAAACAGTTAAAATACAATAGATGGTTGTTGTGGATCCTAGGAATTCAGTAAATTATGGATAAGAGCAGTAACCAAGGTAAAGTGGATAATGAAAAGAAATGGCTAAAGTGGCAAATTGGCAATTACATTTGAATGCACCGATAGCTCTACATACTAACATAATATTATTATGACAATATTACCTGTACGGCTGTACCCCTCTGGGGTTTTGGTCAAATGTTAAGACTTTTTTTTGGGGGGTACATGTGATGCGGCTTTAACCCCCACATGGGGCTAGACTGAGCGCATGTGCAAGTCGACTAGCATTGACTACATGGAGAGCTGCCCTTCAACAGATCTGAGCCACATCTCAAATGGAAGGATGCTGAGACCTGAGAGACCAACTTAAATACTGGGTTTAGTTCAAATCACATATTCGACCACCATATCACTGATAAATAGTGGTTTTTTTTGGAAATAAAAAACCTGTATAATAGGTTGTCAGTTTCAGCGATGGAGAGTGTTCAAAATGTATTTCATAGAAATTTTCAAAAGCCTGTTTGACCCCCTTTCTGCCATAATGATAAGGTGAGAATGAAAAATATAAAATAAAACGAAGGTTTGAGATGGTAAAACTGCCTCTAATGTTTATAAATGAGGATACATATATTTTTGAGACAACGCCATTATTTTGAGGGTATTTTGATAAATTTTCTATTTGTCTTGATTGTGTCTTTACGTTAGCAAACCCTCTGTAGCTTCAATGTCAAAGAGGGTTTAAGTCAATATAAAAACCCAATGGAAGGTGGTAAACTCCAAGGAATGTGCAACTTACCCTTTCTTTAAAGATGAAAACAAAGTGAGAGAGGTGAAAGATTGGAAGCCTTGTAGAAAGATGATAAAACTTGACAGCAAGAGAGTGTGAGAAAGATCAGAAGCTTTGCTATCTTTTCGGTTGTGAAATGAGTACAAGAAGGTCGAATGCACAAGTTTATCTCCAAAAAGAAATGTCTAAACTCTAATGTGCAAGCTGCAAACTCTCCCACCAGGTATATGTTCAAAAAATGAATAACTTATGGAAGATTTAATGTTAATGCTTACCATTATACTGACTCTGAGTTACAAAATTTCATGCTGGTGATGGTAGATATACTATCTACTCCCAAATCATTGAAGTGTAGCTGTTATATGAGACCACCAAGTTATCCAGTGTACTAGCATGAACCGCTCCCCTCATGAGAGCTTTCTGGAGAGGTTCTTCAACCCACATCCAACACATTTGAGTATGACGGTCTCTGTTGTTGGGTCTGGCATAATAACAAATTTGATACCCAGGAAGTCTCTGATATGCCGCAGTGTTTCAATTGCATAAGGAGAAAGCTTTCCAACACGAACCTTGGAAACATCTTGAGGGCATAATGCACAGAGGAGGAACAACAAACCCTGAAAGCAAATCAAATAAGATCAAACGTTAATATACCGGATTTGAGTACAAAAATTATCAGAAACACTCTTCATTAAAGTGCATCATATGCCATTCATTTCTTAAAATAAATGGTATAACTACATCCATCACCTATAAGCAGAAACTCCACTTCAACAAGAGGCTTTTTTAGTGTGTGAATTGAAGTTTCTCATGAAGTAGAGTTTCCACTTTAATACCACATGCAAAGCACATTCCTCCCGGAATAAAGCAGAGCTCTTATCATTTTTTCCCACTATTAATACCACAAGAAACATACATTTACTCCTGCTTAAATTACTATATGGCAAAAGAAGGGAAAAACCCCAAAAAATAGTTTAACATGGTTTCACATGACAGAAAGATGTAGAGAATAGAAACATCAAACATATGCTCCTTTATACATCAGAAGAAGGTTTGAAGGTAATGTTCTTCTAAATCGACAGAAGAAACGCTCATTACATGTCATACTCATGCAACTTAAATTAAAAAAAGCCACTATCTAAAAGTTGGATTTAGTCAAGTATCAGACTCCAAGCCCTAATTGCATTTTTTTTTTCTGGCAACCTACTAGGTTGTGCTAATGCATACAGACCTGGTGTGTTGAATCTACAACTCCCCCTTGTTCAACCTCTCCAAGCAGTACAGATGCGATTTGCTCACCAACATCCACAGGAGGCGTCAATTCTTCCTGTTCTTCGTCCTGAATGTCATCTGTGTCTTCTCTCCTTGAGTAAGATACTGCTGTGTCAGCAGAGATGAAGCAACCAGATGTAGTCTCAGCAACCAATGAAATACCATAGCCAGGTGAACTGCAAAGTAATTTATCATTCATTAGCCCAAAGTAGTGTTCTGAAAATCGTAATTGTGTTGTAAATCATGGAAAAAGATTAACTAAATTGAATTGTGAATTATATTGCATATCACAAGTTTTTTGGCTTTTACAAATATGTCAAAAAATTATAAGCAGATAAACTGAAAATATATATAAAAAAGTGGTTTTACCCTATTTTTAATCCATGTATACCATATAAGCACTTAAAACAATAGAGTTTACCACTTGTACACTAAAAGCCTACGGTGATATACTCAAATTTGACTTGAAGCTCAACTAATCTACATAATAATGGCACTTTAACCAATGTATGACAGAAGTAAACTCAAAATAAACTTAAGAAATCAATTTTTAATAAGGGCTTTAAAGCAAATCTCTTGAAAGGTAAAAAAAGGACAAAGTAGAGAGCTATGTCATAATTGAATTGTACAAATTGTAAAATGCATGAATTGAACCAGAGGATTCAGACATAAGATTTGAATTGAAACCCTTGGGATTCATCATTCAATTCATGAATCATATTATAAATTTTAAGACTTAAACAGCAATGAAACAACATATAATACCTGTTATCTTGATGATGATACTTGAAATACTGAAATCTTGATGCATTCTTCCTGTACTTAAGTTTCAACTATTTTTTTTTCAAATAAAGTGGTTTTCATGCTAAAAAAATCCCGGAAATGAGTGCAAATTATGTGACTTACCGCATTCTTCAATTTTATGAAGAGTGTCTCTTCATAAATAGAGACTTTATTAGACACAAAATAACACCACAACGTACCTTCCAGCATCTGGACCACTTTTATGGTCTGTTTCTATATTTACATCAGGAAGCAGGCGATTGAAGATGCCACGAGCAGCATGCCTCATAGAGTGCTCAAACTGGGAAGAAACCCTGGTAGAGAAAGTTACTCCTCTAATTCTCTTAACCATTCCTTCATCAATCCACGTGACTGCCTGCAGGGAAGGTGGAAAAATAATGTAAAGTTGTAAACCTAAGAAGCAGCATAGATAAAACAACTTGCTGTTAAGAACTCACTGATAGACTATTCTGAATGATGGGAACTGATAAAACAACTTCTCCACCACCCTGAGGAGGACATCCACGGCTCTCAATTTTTAGATTCAATCCTTCTGAAGGGACCCCAAAACGCTTAAGCATATGAAATGTAGTTGATCGAAAAGTATCCACGGATGGATCCTTGGAATCATTTGTAATTCCTGTAAACAAACCATTGATCTTACCTTAGCTATTGAAGAGATTGCACAAGAACTAATAATAGAGGTGGATATTAACCAAAATTAAATGACTCCACATAAAACGAAATGAGAGATACACCTTCCCCAATCCAAAGAAAGCTAAGTTGTTCTAATGCAATCTTGGTCATGGCAGTCTTGGAACAAACTTAGCACTTGCAAAACCAACTGCATATTTTTACAAAGCAAAACAAATAATAATAATAAAAAAAAAACCCTTCCTCCATAAAGCTCCCATTATCACTATTCATTATTCTGTAACTATAACCAATCAAACAACAGCAACAATTTAACAAACAGTTAGAGGCCCAACTATTATGGTACCAATAAAAGCTGTATTTAAATTTCAGCAAAGAAATTAAACAAACACAACACTAAATGAAAAGAACTTGAATCCAGTGCTAAGTGGTGAGAAAAAATAATTATTCCACAAAAAACATGAATACGAATAGTAAAGAGCAATAATAGAGAAGCATTCAAACCTTTGAGCCTTATCATAAGGGGCTTCTTTCCGAACAATCCGAGTACGATTAGTGGCTCCAAGAAATACCCAATAGACCTACTGAGACCACAATCGTGCATGAGGTGCTTCCCGCCCATCAAAACTCCGGGCTTATACTTCAACTTCGTCCCTGATTAAGAGAACACAATATAACAGAAAGGAAAACAAACCCCAGATGGGAAACATAAACCCTAAACCTAAAACCCTAATTCTGGGTGCTTAGATTCCTTACCAGTTTCGTTGATTTCGACGACACAGTCATCGGTGATCTTCTCGAGTAATCGAAGGAATGAGATCTCGTGGGAGCGCAGACCAGGCCATGAGTCGTCGGGTCGAATGTCCTCAATGATGACTGGGGTGGCCGATAGAGTAGACAGTAGGAGCCGTTGCCTGAATTGCTGGCTCCCCTTGAGCCGCATGTAAGATGTTTTCACCATTATTTCTCAGTTCCTTGGCTGCAGAGATCAGCAGTAACGTTTTAAAACCCTTAAAATCCTGTACAAGAAAGAACTGTCGGCTTGGAATTTTAGGCTTGTTATGGTCGTCCCGTGCAAGAAACCATTGGACCCTTTTCGATCCACATTGCTAATAGATTACACAAAAAGACTGGTTATACATCTCACCGTGCATTGTGAACATCTATGGATGGTCGTTCACGGTCTAGGTGCAGCCCCTTCAAAAGGAGTCCTCTAATACTCATACGAGGTACCTCACACCGACCTCATGTTTTGGCCGCACACCGAGAATATCTCTCCTATTTATATTTATTATTCATGGGGAGATGTTCCCAAAGGTAAGATATGGCTGTGAGGAATAGGTCGGTATGAGGCATATTCTCTGAGGAATAGGTCTCAATTCTTTCAAAAGGTACAAGCTTGGTGCATCTAGGTGTGTGTCTGATGCGTCTTGTGCCTCAACCCTCATGTGCACTTTTTTAAAATTCTGTGTTTTTCTTGAATTTAGTGGATGGGCTAGGGTTCCGCCCTCGAACCCCTGACCACACCCTTCAAGGCAAGTCCAAACTAGTCCATGTTAGGGTCTTGAATTCTTAATTTTCTCATATAAAAATAATGATTTTATAACTTTAATTGCCTTTTAAGAAGATATTTTGTTAGAATGAATGAATGAACAATATTAGCAAATAGGGGGTTCTCGAAGCTTCAGTGAACGAGCAAAATTAAGAATTCAAGATCCTAACATGAACTAGTTTGCATTTGCCTCAAGGGGCATGATATAAATGCGACTCGTAGAATAAAAAATGCAATATGTTTTACATCACATTAGTTACTTGAAGTAATGCAATTGGAGGCTACAACAATAGGATTTTCTTTCCCCATATTTTTTTTATTCTAGTTGAGGAAGTTTTAAGCAAAGGCCTTAAAATGTTGATGGCTAATAATTCAATTTGGTATTTTCACCTGCACAAGGGCTGTTGTAAATAATGTCTCTCATTCTCTTTATGTGGATGGCACAATTATTTTTATTACGAGGGAGAAGAGGTCTTTAACTCAGTTTATGGGGTTTCTAAAATGTTATGAAGAAGCCTTAGGTTAGATTTGTAATAGAAATAAAAGTGGTTTCTATGTTTCAAAATATATTTATATGTTTATGCTTCGTGTGTTGGTATTATTGAAAGATGTCCATGTTTTTCTTGGAAAAATTTCCCTTTCACTTACTTGGGTGTTCCAATTTGTAAAGGGAGATACAAAGTGACATGTTTGAGGAAAGTTTCTAGAATAGTTGTAGATTGGAGATACAAATTGACACCTTTGGGGGAAGCCAACCCTCCTCAAAAGCGTGCTTTCTAGCATCCTATAACACACCCTAAGTGGCTACGCTAAGGAAGGTCCTTAGGAGGATTAATAATTTTCTTTTTTTTTGGTTTTTTTATGGGCTGATTGTGATGGTACTTCAAAACACCACTAGATGGCCTCGGATATCATTTATAAACCATTTAGGGAAGGGGGGGAGGGGCTTAATATTAGGGGTGAATTCGAGCCGAGCTGAGCTGAATAGTATGAGGCTCAAGCTCGGCTCGCCAAAGTTGTATAAGGCTTGAGCTCGAGCTCGGTTTGAGCTAGAATATTGAGCTCGAGCTTGGCTCGAGTAAAGAAATCATAAGCTCGAGCTCGGCTCGGCTCAACTCGAGTTCGATTTAAGGAAAAAAAATTTTTAAAAATAAAAAATTATATATAAAAAATATTTTTTATTTGATATTTAAAAAATTAAGAATTATAATATTTTTGTTATATATATTATTTTCTATAATTTTGTTATATATATATTCGATCTCGGATCACGAGCCTCACGAGCCGAGCTCTATTAGGCTCGAGCTCGACTCGTTTATTAATCGAGCCTATAAATTAGGCTCAAGCTTGACTCGAAGCTCGGTTGAAACCGAGCTTTTCATGAGGCGAGCTCGAGTAGCTCATGAAGAGTTCGGCTTGTTGCCACCTTTACTTAATATTCAAAGGGTCTTTGATGCTGATGTTGCTCTCTAAGTAAAAATTTTGTAGAATGCAATTTATGGAAATTATTTATTGGCCCAGTTTTTCAATGCCAAATGCCTCCATAATTCTCACCTGGCTTTATTGGAAGGATCCAACTCCATCTTCAGAACCTAGAACAGAAATTTAAAATTTTCTAGTCTTGTGCTTAATAATTCGATGTGGCTTGTTGGGAAAGGAGACATCTCCTTTTGGTTTGATACTTGGGTTGATGATAGTCCCTTATTTAATTTTGCTATCGATGGTGTTGAAATTATGACTTTAATGACTGTAAAAGAAGCATTTCTGGAGAATGGGAGTTGGAATGTTCCTCTCCTCCAAGATCTGGTTTTGGTTGATAAAGTGGACATAAGTATTTCTTCCCATATTATTTTATCTAATAATGATGATAAAGTTATCAGGAAGCATGTGGCTAATGGTGATTTTGCAGCAAAGAAAGTTTGGGATCATGTACGAGCCAAAGGTATAGAGAATGGGTGTTGGAATTGTATACGGGTTACTTATAATACCCTTGAAAATCAGTTTTAGGGTGTGGAGAATTGTTTAGGGTGGACTGTTAGTTGATGAAAACATTAAGGGAGAATGATTGATCAGCCCAGCTCAGAATTCTTAGCCCCACCATACAAGGGGGATGAATCCTGATCGTGGATTGATGTCAAATCCATAGACAGGATGCGGTTTATAGGGGGAGGGGGCTACTAGTAGACTATGGGGGGGCTGTAATTTCAGAATTCTGCATTGGACTGCAGTGTACTTCTCCCAAACATTAAGTCACTAGGGATTCCTATTATATCTTGGTGTTGTTGTTGTAGGATCTTAACCTATGAGTCTATTCAACACTTGTTCATTGATGGTGTGCTTGCGAAGATGGTGTGGCTTGCTTTCAATTCCTCTTTGGGAATTCCAATTTTGGAAACAAAATCTATTTCTCAATGTGTATTCAGATGGATTCAGGTTGATCTTGCTCATAACAACTAGTGGGGTTGGTTTCTTTCTACAGTTTTGTGCCTATTTGTGTGGAAATTTGGAAGGAACAATGTAAAGATCATTACTATACATCTTCCTTTCATTATAAATAACATTTTGAAATGGGCCCATGACCTTTGTTATATATGGAAAAAAATGCAAATAGTTGCAAGGCATTTAGATAGAAAATTTAGGTTTTCAGTTGTTCCCTGTCCAACCCATGAGAATGGAAGTTGTCTTCCCTATATAACCACAGTTGCACACTTGGATCCTTTAGATTGATGGTGCTAGTTGTGAAAAACTTGGGTCCTTTGGCAATGGTGGGTGGATTCGTGACTCTTAAAATGGTATTCAACTATACTTCTCTATGTTTTATGGGATCGTCACTAATATGATGGCAAAATGTCAAAACCTTCTAGATGGTCTGCTTACTGCATCTGATTAGTATAGACTTGTTGGTATTCTTTGATTCTTAAGTTTTGGTTGATAGTGTTAATGGTACCTCATCTCTCCATTGGTCGATTTTGAATTTCTTAGAGGTGATTCGAACTATTCCTATTCATTTCACCATTCAACTTATTTGCAAGGAAGGTAATCAAGTGGGGATTCCATGGCTGAAATGGCTTGTGCATTTCGACTTGACTCTACTTTCATTTCTCTCTATGACTGTACTTCACATGTTAGGAATCGCATCAAAGATGGCATCTCTAGTCTTCTCTATCTTCGCATTCATCAAGTCTCTTTTATATAAAGGCATTCAGACACCTTTGTATATCTACGAGTCGTATGCCTATTGTTTTCTTGCGAGGTAAGGTTTTTATGCCCCCCCCCTCGTAGGCCTTTCTTGAATAAAATTAATGGTGTCTTCCCTCTATCGGGAATACGTTTTGGATTAAAAAAAGATTCTTGCTTTGGGTCTCGAGACAAAGGGGTTAATGGTAACGAAATTAGGTGATCTTGGTATCGTTGGAATTGGCATTTCGGGCTCTATGTATAGGGTTTGGATTTTTTACATGATGTGAGATAAGGTTTAAGATTGAAAAGATTCCAATTGAATGATTGGAATCGGTTTTGGTTTTAGGTCTTAGGATAAAGGGGTAAACAGGGTTGGTTTAGGTGGTTTTGGTATTATTGTACTTGTAATTTTAAGCTCTATGTATCTATTGGGTTGAATTTTAGATTTGATGAAAAGTTGATATTATGTTTAAAAATATTCCAAATGGACCCTAAGGATTGGTTATAAATTCGGGTCTTAAGACAAAGAGGTAAATGGTGTCTGATTTGGGTAATCTTGGTGTCATTGGATTTGAAAATTCAAGATCTACATGCCTACATGGTTGAATTCTTTACTAGATGTGAGATAAGGTTTGAGATAAAAAAATCCAATTAGATGATTAAAATTGGTTCTAGCTTCGAATCTTAGGACGGAGGGGTAGATAATGTTGGATTTAAGTGTTCTTAGAATCATTGTATTTGAAATTTTGGGCTCTATGTATCTATAGTGTTGGATTTCTAATGCATTGTAAAGATAGCTTTGGGATCACAAAGATTCTAGACAAAAAATCAGGACCAATTATGGATTCGAGTTTTAGGACTGTTAAATAAATGGTGTTGGGTTTGGGTAGTCTTGGTATTGTTGGATTTGGAATTTTAGGCTCTACTTGCCTACATTGTTGGATTTTTGATTTGATGTGTAATAAGGTTCATGATTAAAAAGATTCTAATCGAATGATAGGGATCGATTTTGGCTTCGGTTTTTAGGATAAAGGGGGAGACAATGTCGGATTTGGGTGATCTTGGTATCTTTGTATTTGAAATTTTGGACTCTACATAATCGCATGGTTGGATTTTTGAATTGATGTGAAATAAGGTTTAGGATAAAAGAAGATTCAAATGATACAATTGGAATTGGTTTTAGCTTCAAATTTTAGAACGAAAGGGTAAACAATATCGAATTTAGATTTGGGTGATCTTTATATTATTCAATTTGGAATTTTAGGATTTATGTATCTATGGTGTCGGATTTTTGGCTTAATGTGAAATTAAATTCAGGGTAAAAAGATTCTAAAAGGAGGGTTGAAATTTGGTTAG